TTACAATTTAATTAATTAAAGCAAACAACTGTGAGAATATCACAAAAGTGCAGTTTTAGAGAAATAACTTTGTCGGAATATCTTTTTCCGCAACATATTCTTAATTTACTTGTTTTTTGTTGAATTTCGCGCATAGTTACACGGGGACTACCTGCGGTAGCCATCTTTAATTTAAAGTGATTTTTGGGAAGACAGCTAGTCAACCCCACCCTCTGCCAACTCTTGGCTCACTGACCGTCACGTCCTTTATAGCTGATAGGGTGAGCATATTCAATGGTGAGATTTTATTCCACAACCTGAAAATGGGTGAGCATATTCAATGGTGAGATTTTATTCCACAACCTGAAAATGGGTGAGCATATTCAATGGTGAGATTTTATTCCACAACCTGAAAATTGTGAATCAAGTGACCTAACCACCAGGCCCATAATTTACATATCTTGATTTTAATACAATAAGAACTTGTGGATTCAAAAGTATATAGCTATCAAAATATACATTAATTCTATCGTTAATAATGAAGATATAATTATGGTAATTCGATATATATTAAGTTATTGTGAAAAGTTATTTTTCTATGCTGGATTCATTTTATATTCAAGAATTCAGATTAAAAAGCAAAAAATACTTGGTATTTTTTGCCCTTTTGTATTCAAATGTAACAACTTATTATAAATTACTGAAATATATATATATATAAGCTTGTTTTTATATTTTATTTTTAGTTTGATTATTTACTCCTATTTATTACTCGTCGAAGATTTAATATAAAACATATATCATTTTGAACTATGTTACAGAACCTTTTACGCACGCAATGGAGAATTTAAATAGGAAATTATCCTGATTCAAAAGACAGTCCCCTCCTCCAGGTGGCTCAGCGACAAGTCTGAGGGCTTATAACGTTAAAAATCTGGTGTTGATACTTGCGCTGGGCATAACGCAGATAATCTATTGTGTAGCTTTATGCTTATCAATAAACTAAATAAATTCACAATATTTTTTACATTTTGATATGGGATGTTAAACTGATCTCGCAACTAAACGTTCGCGTTCTATTTGAAATAAATTAAATTAAATTTTGGATCTTGAAAAAAAAAACTGGAAATTCCGCGAACTATTCAGTAGTAGTTGCGTATGGTGTTTCTCACACCTCCAAAAGTCCAGACACCAGATTGCGAGTCGAGCGCTCTAACCACCTGGCCATGCCGGGAACATAGTCATTTAAATTCGATTTCGATGACGAGGAACCCACTTTGAGACTAATAATGGCTGGAGACGGCTTATATAGCCATTTAGTTACCAACTGTTTGGTGGTGAAGTCATTTACACTTGCCCTATTTATTGCCGCAGTGTTCAAGTAGGCTTAGTAAAGACTGATACTATCAATTATGTATGTTGTATGGTAGCATATTAAAAATAGAGAACACGGGTTACACTATTTTTCTCGTTTTCTTGAATCTAGAGAAATGATTACACAGTTAAACTTTTGTGTTTCCTTATTATATTTCCTTGTACTTCGAGTTTAAATAAGAAATTAAAAATAATTCAAACAGTTTTGTTTGTTTGAAGTTAAGCACAAAGCAACACAATGGGCAATCTGTGCTCTGCCCACCACGAGTATCGAAATCCGGATTCTAGTGTTGTAAGTTTGCAGACATACTGTTGTACCACTGGGGGCAATTCAAATAGAGAGAACAAAGGAATTCAGCTGTATTAGTGAATAAATAAAACATAACTACATGTAATATATATATATCAATTAAGTCATGTAACATATATCTGTGTTTGTGTGTACAGAATAACAACGGATTTAATGAATTAAGGTGCTCATAGCCCATTGATGTATACATTACTAGTTTTGGACTCTAGGACGAACTAAGGACCTCAATCTTTGACGACCTTGAAAGTAACACAAAACAATTCCTTTCCAAATAATTATGGAAACTTATTTCATTAGTATGTGCATATTAATGAGCTCGGATTCAGATTATCTAAAAACACAATATCTTAAAAACTAATAATACTAACCAATTAAATTACACATCAATTTAAAGCTTAAAAAGAGAAAAAAAAGCATGAACCTAACTTCACAGCTGTCAGACTGTCACAGAAGAAAATAAAAACGAAAAATGTATTTATTTTCATCACTAAAAATCAACCCTTCAGTTACATACCTCTTATACTTAGGGTGTAAGTTTTTACAACCTATGTATTGCATTGAGTTTGTGTAAAAAACTGATAACATTACCACCAAAACGGTTGAGAATTGCCATGAATTCCGTTGTTAGGCCGTTTACTATGGGAAGATTTTAATTTTCGGTTCAGGATTATGATTTTCAGTATCATTTTTGAGGGATATGTAGGGGTATTTTGACAAAATGTGTTGCAGAAACTGAAAGTAGACATTCTAAAGTAGGAAGTATTTGTTTTTTCAAAATGGGGTGAAAAAAATGGGCTAGAAAGATCTTACTATTAAATATCGATACATTTCTGTTGTTTAACTTCTTTAGAACATTATGTCTGTTTTCGTGTTTGCTACCTCCATGTTCGAGCACAATTTTATGAAAACCGGCGCAAACGAATAAAACATTTTACATACTGATCAAGTCTTCTAAACATACATGAAGATGAGATGGTAATTAATAAAAAAATCCTTCAGAAAAAAATCCATATTTCATTTTCTCATTCTCATTACTATCTATTATACAAAATGACCATGCGACTAAATATATAAAACAATTAATTCAGTTAAGTAGTAACGATACTTTTTCTCTGCAAACTGTCAGCAGGTAGAATTGAAACTAAGAAAAAACTTGTCACCCAGAATTAACAAAGATGTTCTTGCTGGCGTGTCCAAGTTTTTTCATTATCATTATGATTTCTGTAATGTTAAGTAAATTTTTCACTGTACAAATGAGCCTAGCTTGGCTCAGAGATGATGTGCCCGGCAAATTAACCGCTGGGTCCGACTATGTTGGTCTTCTCATATGCTTATAGAGTTATTGATTTTTAATACTATTAGGTGAATTCAGAAATAACATGTATGTGTTTGTTTAATAATCATTCAAATTAACATCGAAAAGGCATTTTTCATTTTCAGAAAAAGAAAAAGATTTGACCTAAATGTAATACAAACTGAGAGAATGGGGCTTGAATATAAGCTTACATTGGATATAAACGTAATATACACTGAGTGGTCACAAGTACATAGACACCTACTTTTTCGTCATTTAACTGATTTATGCTAACTAATTTGTGTTCACTAATTATCTTGTGCTACAACATGCCTAGAACTCAAGGTTCTCTCGAATTGTCAGATTTTGTTAG